CAAATCAATTTTCTTAAAAACAATCTCAAACCCATAAATTAATCTAAACCCTTAACTTTAAATTAAACGCCTAAAAAATTCCTAAAAGTTCAAAGAATCCCAAAAATCATCCCAGAATTCATTCAAGAATCCCAAAATTGAAATGCAACCCTTCAAACATTTTGAAGGTCAAAACTTAGAAAATAAAAAGATCAAAACCCTAAAAACTCCCATGTAATCCCAAAAATAACCCAGTTAAAAACACAAATACAGAAAACCCAGAACAAATCCAAAGCTTCTGATATTTTTTGTATAATTTCTTTCTATCATTTTTTTTTGTTTATGTGTGCTTGTTGTTGGTTTATAGAGAATTTTGGACAGTAATTTTAAGGATTTTTCTTGAATGATTGAGATTGGATCTATCACCAACAGATCCGATCATGTTCTTGATTTTTGGTTCTTAATTCTTTCTTATTTAGGTCAACAATTCATGTGATTCAGTTTCTAGTTTTACCCAAGCTTGATTTTTGGGATTGAATCCCAAATCCTCGTTTATTTATATTTTTTCTTTTTCTTTTTCTTTTTTTACTTTTTGACATTTTGAAAAAAAAAAACACTAAATCAAAAATTAAATCAAATTAAACTTAAAATTTTTAAAAAAATTTATTGGGCCAAACGTTTCACAATTGAGCCCAACTTATGGTCAAAACCCGTTTTTGATCTCAAAAAAATTTTGAATAAAATAAAATATCTATAATGGATTTACCTAAAATTCGATCTGAAACTCGATTTTAAAAAAAAAATCAACTTTATAAAATCAACTTGGATCAAAATCCAACGATTTCGAACTAAGCTACCATCCCTAGTCAAAAGTACTCATAAGTTCAAAAGTAGGCTTGATCTGATCAATTTAGTATGATTAAAGATGGTTTCAACACAAGAATTTAATTATAAAGTAGATTACAAACTTAACCATTATATCAAATATATTTTATTTTATCTTTATTTCCTTCTATCCCTCCTGCTAAGTAAAATTTTAATGTTTACCACTATAAGCTAAATTGTTAATAATATAAGACAAAAATAGGGTCAGCAAAATGTAATGCAACCTATTGTAAATAGATTGAGGGCTACATGGAAGAACCCTAAACAAAACTCAATTTTGATAATTATATATAGAATTAAATTATTCTTCTAACTATTCATTGAAATTTAAACTGTTGATAAAGTAATATATAATTATAAATCTTATCTGATAAGATTAATTAATTATATTGATATTTTCGTCTCATTATCATGTTTCAATACTTTATTTGGTCCTCATTTGTACTCATTCCAACTAAAAGAAATTCAAACCTCAAAAGTTTTATGCATGTTTGGAAATGGAATTCTTGGTATTACCACACATTAAAAACAAACAAAAAAAAATGTATTTAATGAATTGAGAATCAAGTACAGAATCTGCAACAAGGTTGGTAATTGGAGGTTGTAAACTGTGAAAGATGGGGTGCAAATGCCAAGCCCAAAGACAGGTCGAGTTGATTTTTTTTTTTTTTTTTGCTTTCTCTCTGTTTCATGAATCTTGTTGCCAATAAAATCACAGGTGCCATAACGTGATGGTGTCAGCAAAAAGATCGGAATCGGACACACAATTTAGGTGTCTGTCCTAAATACAACATGTTCTCTTAAGGAGAAATGCTGGTCCCAATTCCCCTTCCCCTTTCACTTCCTCAAAAGCAGCCAGCCCAGCCACCCACAACATAAAGCGCAAGAAAGGATCCCCATTTCTTTTTTCTTTTTTTTTCCTTTCTCTTTTCTATGTTTTGTGTTTATACTTTATACCCACAAAACATATCTCTCTCTCCCTTTTTTCCTCAAATTTTAACTCTTAAAATTGAGCCTTTCGGGTTTTGAAAACTGGTCCCAAATTCCTTGTTATCTAATGGACCAGATAACAGCTCTGCCCTTTTTTTTAATAGATGGTGAAGGGATCCACTCAACATTTCTAACCATGGCAAAATCTTGTGTTTTCCTATGACCTAGATCTCATTGATTTTCCGGTGTGGTATTGTTCTCATGCGAAAGGGCTTTAAAATTTTCCCAACTCTCAAAAAATATGGTACTGTGAACCAATAATCTCCATATTTGAGCCTTTCGGGGGCTCTGTTTTTGGAATGGTCCAAGACTCCCGAACATGGGCAGTATTTTAACACATTTCCCTTTATATATTTACATGTTATGGACCACATTAGTTATGAGCCCCTTCACACGATTCTTTACAACTCTTGTTCATTGGATGATTTTGTAAAATGGTTTTGTAACTCCAATTGAACAGCTTTTCATGTAGTAACCTGGTTTTGCACAATTGTAGCCAAACAACAATGACTGGTTTTAGTTTGAACAACGAAATTCCCTCCCTCCCTCTCTCACTTTTTTCACTTCCTATGACAGGGATGAGAGAGAATATGTTAGTCTTTTTTTAGTGCCAAAGCATTGTCATTTAATCATTTATCATTGTGTTAAAACAATGTGTAGTTAATAAATTTCGATTAATTTTTATTTGATAAAAAATATTTTTTGAAATCATAAGTTAGGTTGTAGGTAGATCAGGTATTTTTAAAAAATAAACCATGGTAGGATCAAAAATGGGTTTTAAGATAATCTAGCTTGACTCGTCCATAGATATATATGTATAAATAAATATATTTTATTATTTATTTAATTTTATACTTATATATATTAATAAAATTATTATATAATATTTTAATTTAAAATATTATATTTATATATGATTACGATATAATTTATATTAAAAAATTAATATTTTATAAATATAATATTAAATTAAAATCATTAAATTAATTTTAAATTAGATACGAGTTAAACACTAATTATACATATATATGTCAAATATTAAAAATAATAATCCAATTTCAAGTTAGATCAAAATTGGGTATGATTTATTAAAAATCAAAATAGATAAAAAATTTTTTCAATCCGATTCATTCTCACCCTTATTATTTAATCATAATTAGTTTTACATTATTATAGTTATAATGAATACTAACTAAATTTTAATGTACTCATATTACGGATGTCGATAATGAAAAAGGATTGTTCTAAATGCACTAATAAAAAAACATAATTGTAAATTATCAAATATATGCATTAAAATACTTCTTTCGTCTATTTTTTATCCATCTTTTATTTTTTAGTTATCTTAAAACCATGTCATCATTGGAACATCTTTTCTTTTTTAATAATTAAAAAACTAATAAAGAAATATAGTTCTATTTGATTAAGAGAATTTTTGGTTTTTACGTCATAAATAAAAAATCTAATCTAAAATTGAATCAAACACTAAATTTCAAATCAATTTTTGATTATTTTATTTTATTTTATTATTATTTTTGAGCAGACCTAACTAAGTGGAAGCACTATTTTGATTTATTCGACTCTTAGATGGGATGTCCCCTCCTCGGGGCTTAATGCTTTGTGCCTGCAGATATGAGATCAATGTACTTGCCTTCAATTGAACTAGGGTTTTCCCCCTTCTTCGACAGCCCCCAACCCTTTTTCTAATTTTTTAAACAGGCAAGTTGCAGATATTCTATCTCAATAAATAACAAATCTTTCCCTCTCTCCATTATGCAACTAACCTATTACTTGGACTGATATAGACTGAAATTTTTGTTTATACTATTATATTAAAAATTATTTCATTCATTATAAGTGAAGTTCCAGACTTTAAAAATAAAACTAGTAATGTAACTCACATTTAGGATATATTTTAAAAAATTAAATATAATGAATGAAATTATATTTACAATAAATATAATAATATAGATATAATATATTTATACTATTATTATTATTATTATTATTAAAAATTATTTCATTCATTATCGTTGAAATTTTAGTTTTTACAAATAAAATTAATATGATGGTACATATTTAGAATATATTTAAAAAAATTAAAAAAGATACATTTATTAATTTTTTAGTTTCGTTTATAAAATTAAAAATTTATATTAATATTATATCAAACATTAACTCTATTATTATTAGAAAAATTATTTGATATATTATTAATAAAAATTTACAATTTTATAAATGAAATTAAAAGATAAGACATATCTCATTTTTAATTAATTTTTATTTATTAATATACTTAAAAGAATCCATGCCATTCTATTAATTTTATTTTATTTGGGAGCCTAAAAAATTCAATAAGTGTATTTGATAATAATAATAATAATAATTATTATTATTATTATTATTATTATTCATCAATAACAACACCTGTTAATGTCTTATTGTGACACATGTCTCAGGAAAAATATTCCTCTTTTGCTCTCTGTTTCACTCTGAAGAATTTTCTTTTTCTACAATAAATGAAAAAGAAAAGTTGATGATGAAAATTATGATATGAACATAGTAGGAGGAAACAATGACTTGGTGAGGAGTTTGAGGATAACATATAATTTTACGAGAAAGAGCAAAGTAGCTCTCCAACCAAATTAATAATATGTGACTTAAATAAGCTTGAAAATAAAACTAGTATTGATTAATATTTTGTTCAATTAATTAATTAATTTGCTTTATCAATCGTCCAATATGGTTAAAAGGTCATTTTCATTATTAATATAATAAAAAATCAATTCTTCTTTTTTAATTATTATTTTATCATCATGATTGACCCTATCATATAATACGAGTATTAAAGTATTTCTGCCCATGTTAATCATTTCATTATCTTTCAAATAAAAAATAATAATGGGTCCGGTTATGGATGTCGCTTAAGAATTATTTAATTTTTATTTTTAAAAAATTATATTTAATTATCATTTTTGCATTAATTAATTTTTTTCTGTAACTGCGAACTAATATATCTTTAAAACATAAACTCCTCCATTCATTTTGTTTAATTTCTTATTTATTAACTCATACTTCACTTTCACTTAGTCTTTTCATAATCTTATTTTTAATTTTTTTTCTAAATCAAATAGATAGATTCCACTAATAATAATGAACCAAATTAAAATGTAAAAAAGAAAACGAAGTGTGACAGCAAAAATCATTATCTAAAAAGATAGATACACCTCAACCTCATAAGTACACGTCGTCCCCTCCAACCTCTCAGTTTCACTTTTCTCTCAAATCGAAAGCTCTGCCCTTTTTCTGTTAACACCTCTTTTTCATCCATTTCTCTGCTCAATCCAGCTCCCACTCTTACTCGTTCTTTCTCTCGTGAAAATCTGGGCATGATAAATCTGCAGCTTATTTGATGATTTTCGAACTTTAATCTTTTTTTAGTGCCAAAAAAGAAAACAAAGAAAAGAAATTTGAATCATGGTGCTGTGCGACTTCGCCACGTCAATGGGGAGTAGCAGCGGCAGCTCCTCATCATCATCCTCCAAACCACTGCCATCGCCACAGCAGCAAGATATTGATGGACTTCTCGCCGGCGCTGGATACAAAGTCCGGTCATCGGAGCTCCTGCAAGTAGCTCAGCGACTGGAACGACTCGAAAACGCCATGGGTAATTCCCCTGCAGATTTCTCCCAACTCGCTACGGATGCTATCCACTATAACCCTTCCGATCTTGGCTCCTGGGTCGACTCGCTCCTATCCGAGTTCGTTCAGCCTTCTACTTGCCCTTCTGAAGTCATCATGGATCCCGTACCCAATCAGGCGGTGGTAAGCAACGCGTGGACCACCGCCGAACCTCAAAACCCGCAGGTGCACCAGAATATTTGTTACGAGCAACAAAGTTTGAATAATCAATTGACGGTTGTAACGGCCACGGAAGAAGATTCCGGTATAAGACTGGTTCACATGTTGATGACATGTGCGGACTGCGTCCAACGTGGTGACCTTTCATTGGCTACTTCATTGATCGACGACATGAAAGGGTTACTCACTCGTGTCAACACCGTTTGCGGTATCGGTAAAGTTGCTGGACATTTTATCGATGCTTTGAGCGGCCGTATCTACCAAGGAATTGGCGGCGGCTCTGTCAACGGTGGCTCTGTTCTTGAGAACGAGATTTTGTATCATCATTTTTACGAAGCGTGTCCATACTTGAAATTCGCTCACTTCACGGCCAATCAGGCGATTCTCGAAGCTTTTGAAGGTCACGATTGCGTCCACGTGGTGGATTTCAATTTGATGCACGGCTTACAATGGCCAGCTTTGATACAAGCCCTCGCTTTACGTCCCGATGGACCTCCTTTACTCCGTTTGACCGGCATTGGACCGCCGTCTCCAGATGGCCGTGACTCGCTTCGCGAAATCGGTTTACGACTCGCCGAGTTGGCTCGGTCCGTCAACATCCGCTTCTTCTTCCGTGGAGTCGCCGCTTCCAGGCTCGAAGACGTTAAGCCATGGATGCTTCGGGTAAATCCAAAAGAGGCGGTGGCAGTTAACTCAATCATGCAGCTTCACCGTTTGCTCGGATCCGAACCGACCCGAAATTATCCTATCGAAACGGTTTTGAGTTGGATCCGAAGCTTAAACCCGAAAATTATGACCGTCGTTGAACAAGAAGCAAACCACAACCAACCCCTTTTTTTGGACCGGTTCACGGAAGCTCTTTATTATTATTCAACAATGTTTGATTCTTTAGAAGCTTGCACCGTTCAACCGGAAAAAGCTTTAGCCGAGATATACATACAGAGAGAAATAGCCAACGTGGTGAGCTGTGAAGGGTCGGCTCGAGTGGAAAGACACGAGCCCTTGGCCAAGTGGCGGACTCGGCTGAGTGCAGCCGGGTTTAAGCCATTACATTTGGGGTCCAACGCGTTTAAACAAGCTAGCATGTTGTTGACTTTGTTCTCGGCGGAGGGATATTCGGTCGAAGAAAATGAAGGGTGTTTGACTCTGGGCTGGCATAGCCGCCCTCTCATTGCGGCTTCGGCTTGGCATGCCGTGCCCGATGCTTCCGCTGAGTTCCCGGCTTGGGATAATCAACAGTCATCCTAATAGTCTTGCTGTAAATTCGGGGTAATTTGGTTATTTTTGGAAAGTTTTTTTTTTTTTACAGCTTTTATCGGTGCTATTTGCAATGAGATTTTACTTCAGGAGAAATCTGTTCCTAGCTAGGATGTTTCATACGTGTTTTTGTTTACCCACTTTTTGCAGTTATCTTTAAAATCGGTCAATTTGGTCCCGTGACAAGAATTCAAGATGATGAGATGGATTCATATCAATTTAATTTGTTGGTTAGACATAGCGTTAGGGTTAGAGTTTTATCAAGTGCTATCTCCATTTACAACCCAATTAAAGTTTTGAATTTTAAACTAGAAAATGACATTTTTCCAATTTTCTTATAGAAAATGACATTTTAGGGACTAAAAAAATTGCATGAACTGATTTTATCTTCAGTGTTGATGTTAAGCTAGAATGAAATGCAGAATCTGGGATTGCCATGAAGATCATGTGTCATATAACGTAAGAGCTAGGGGTGAAAAAATAAAAGTTTAAAATCGATTTGAAATTGTAATTTTCATTTTGAATAGGTTTTTTTTTTAATGATTCGAATTAAATATAAATATTAATTTTAAATTAAATTTTAAATTAAAAAGTAAAAATAAAAAAATCAAATTGAATAATATATTTTTATTATTTTTATATTTATTTTAAATTTTTATAAAATAAAATTATTAAATTTATATTTAAATTTATTTAAATATATTAAAATAAAAAATAAATTTAAAAATTGATAAATCAACTCGAACTAATAAAATTTGATTTAATTTAAATTAAATTATATCAAAATTCAAATTAAATTTTAAAAATTTATAATATTATATAATATTAAAAAAATCAAATTGAATTTAATCTGATTTGAACCAATAGAAGAGGCTGTTCTTTGAATAATCGTGTCTGTGTGTTGATTTAAGTTGTTATCAAAGGCCGAGGGGTACCTCACACTTTTTAAACTGGGGAATTTCTTCAGAGACCTTTTTCAGGTTGTGAGTGCTGCTTGCGACCAAACATGACCCAAATTTCTCATCCAACCACCGCACTTCCTTTTTTTTTTTTTTTTTCTCAAAGAGATGATGAGTGCTGCTGGTGTTTGTGGCAATTGAATCATGGATGGACGGATCGTGGGTGGGTAGGCCATTGAATCTGCCAAATCCTTATGCAAGAAAAAAAAAAAAAAAAAGGAACCACATATGGCAATGGCTACTTTTCTTTCTTCAACCACGTTAAAACCTTCTCTTAGTAGGCTATCAGCTGATGGTTAACCAAATATAACGCACTAGTGCGGTATCTTCCATCCAAGTTAGACAAAGTTTTCTTCTCTTTCATTTTTAATGAAAGTAAATAGCAAAAACCAATGGATTTAGACGCAATAGAAACTTGAAAAAGCTAATGTAAGTTGAGTTAAGTACTTAAAATGGCAGGAATATGAAAATGGATGACAACCACATGGGTTATGTTTGGTGGAAACAAATGAGAGGCCAAAGGGGTTGATTCTTGCTTTATTATTATGTTTGTTTAGGTATTTAAGGCATGTATATATAGCTTTAATGTAATGGTACCATGAGAGAGAGTGAGGAGATGATCGATGCATGTGCGTTTTCTGAAACAAAATGAAAAGAAAAAAGGCTAGGAAATTAAGCAAACGGGGGACCCCTTACCGAAATAATGAGACAGAGCACACCCAGAGCCCAGACGGCCAGAGATGGCAAAGAGAGGAAGACTACTCACATGAGAGACCTGTCTTTCCCCTGCAAACTGTAATGTCTCGTTGCCTTCAATGTGCCTGAGTACTCCAATTCCCAGATTATCACTCACCACTTAATTGCTAAGAAAAATGCTAATGCTGACATGATTTTGATTTGGTAGTTACAAAACTGTGTTTAAGGTTTTACACCACAAAAGCATTATTCAAAAACCGTACCCTTGCGTTTGAAAGTTTGGTACTTCACCAGGAGATTGTCGGTTTTGCATGTGATGACCACCCAACTAAAAAGTGTTTGGTTTTGTCCATCATGACATGATATCCATTCAATGTAATTTAGAAAATAATGTTCAATTTCATTTTTAATCAAAAGAATCCAATGATAGATTGTTTACTGTCCAATTTTCTCAAATCAAAGTTGCTTGTACTATTTTTTTACCAAAAAAAAATTAATAATAATAATAATGATAAATTAAGAACATGCATTTCCATAACAAGAAATAATTGAAGTAAATAGTACTATTATCGATGTTTTTTAAACAAAGACAATTATTACTACAAAATTGTAAGGATTCATCTTTGAGTAGAGGGTTGAGAGGACAGAACCCGGATCCGAGTCGAAGGAAAGGATTCATCATTCACGTAGTATTTCATAATTCGGATCTTCCCAAACCAAAGTGGGCCCAATTAATATGTAGTAACATTCGGGGCCCACAAATGCTGGTTTCCCAGCATGTTCACGAGTCAATTTCTTCTCACGTGACGACAGCGATATCGAATTATTTTCTCACTCACTTGAGAACCGTTAAAATGGGTTAATTCAATTTGTTGATTTTTTTTTTAACTAAAAAAAGGCGTCAATTTGAAGTGAAATTGACCCATCTTAAATTAAAGATTTCACCATCAAATTTGAAGGTCCCACATTAAACGTACAGGGAATGCCATTATACCAATGTGGTCCTCTTTGTTTGAATTACTTGCTAGCTACACTACATTAATTATCCTATATACATGAAATCGACGGTTTCATCGGCCGTTGGATTTATGTTATTTTCAAAATAGTTTTAAATTTTTTTTAAAAAAATTAATTTGGTCTTTTTAAATTTAAATTTGTTGTATTAATACATGTTATTTTTTATTTTATGTATTTATATTGAATATATAATTACAAAAGTTATTTATATTTAAATATTCCGACATTTAATTTTAAAAAAATTATAATTGTCTAATTTATATTTACTTATTATAAATAAATTTTAATTTAAAATGAATAATAAATTTGTCAACATTATATTTCCACAAATATGTAAAATTAAGTTTAATATACATGTAAGTATTATAATAACTAAATGACAAATATCCAATTGTGATTTTTTTAATTAATTTTTTACTATATTCTTCATGCTTATTTTATTTGAAAATTATTATATGTCAAAATAATTAATATGATTAATTTAAATACATTTTTATTTTTTATAATGTAAAAATATTATGTAAAAAATTAGAAGGTTTTAATTTGTGTTTCAAAGTCTTTCCTTTATTGTTTTAAAATTAAAGTTATTTTAAAAAATATAGTTTTGTGATTTTTTCACTTTAATACTTTAAATATTAAATATGATAAAATAATTTGTTAATATCGTAAAAAAATATAATGATTTTTTTTATAAAGAATATTATTAGTGAGTTATAATTAAAAATTGTAATATCAATTATTTAATATATTTATTTTATTTTATATATATATATTTACATATTAACAGACTTATAATTATATATATTTTATTATTAATAAATTTGATATGTTTTTAAAAAAATTATTATAAAATATTATTTTGACCCCCTTAAAATTAAAGGTAAAGATTTAATGGATGGTTTACTGTCAGATTATATTTTAAGAAGATTTTATGGTGATATGATTATTTATACTGTTAAAAGATTTTCACTTTTGATTACTTTCAATAAAAACTGACAAGACTTGATAAACTTTTAAAATAGAATTACATAAGGACATGAATAAGTGCATGAAAGACAAAAGATAATATGTTGCAAAGTAAGTTAAACGAATTGAAAAACAAAATAAATTATGATAATATGTAAGAGTAATGAAGTCGCATTATGTTTGTATTTTCTGAAACTCTTTTATATATTTGAAACTCATGGTTTATATATAAAAAAATAAAATAAAATTTAAAGAGGTTCCTAAATTAACTACTTTCTATTAACTCCTTTACTTGATAATGGATAAAAATTACTACACATGTTGCTATTATTTAATTAATTAATTATGGATTGAACGGAAAGGGTGAGACGTCAGGTTCTTATCCTTGAGAAAAGGAGGATCAAGTCAACAATCCAACATACATGTGATTGCATACGGCGAAGATATTGAACTCTTTTACATATATTGAGAAAGACAGCAACCTTTGTCAATTGAGACATGCAATGACAGTAGCTTGTAACAATCATTTTGACCATTCAACCCCCTTCTCTCTTCAAATTCAAACTTTTTGAAACCATTAATTGGTTTATCTATCTGCTTCAAGTGGGTAGTTGAAGCCTTGAAGAGACGAGGCAAGGGTTTTTTTTTTTTTTATTTCCAGTGTTTTGGATCAGTGACAAGAATATTTACATTGGTGTCAGTTTGCCGGTTCAGAATCTGGGAGACGATAGGGACACCGTGATATTTGCGACACATTGTCATGTTCTTTTCAACTCGTATAAGTTATTATCAATTACCAAACTTGTTCAACTCTCGATGTTTACGTCAATTATAAGTCGGCTATTATTTGTTCAACAGTTGTCTTAGAACAGTTAAATTTTGCAAGCTGCTTTCAGCAAAAGATTTGGTGATTTAAATTTTGCTGTAACCTGAAGCTAATAGTTTATAGTTATTGTGGTTCTAAATCAGATTTTATGTTTCTGGTAATTCGAAATTGAAATACTATCAGATGATAACAGCAATCTCTGCTCTGCTCTGCTCTGATCTTCCTTGAGAGGAAAGAACATTCTCTCATTTGCCTCGCTTGTGGGGGCTTTTGCTGGAAATGGAGTCTCAAACTTTCAGGCTAAATTAGTAAAATTTCTCCAAAAAGTGTAGCGGATTGAGGTCCAAAACCAAATCACTTCATTATGAGGCAAAGTTTTTTACCCTCACCTCTTTAAGGCCTTTAATTCACCGAACATGCTTTATGGTCTAAAATAGTCATTCCAACCATTAATTCTGCATAACCGAGCAACTACATCTGTGTCCCACCGTGTCTGGTAGGCCTTAGTTAACTAAAGCAAATTCAAACTTTTCCTTGAAAATGTTCTCATATCTACCTCGCTCGCCAGATTTGAATTTTATAACCTCAATTTTCCTTGAGGGACCCTTTGGCTACTTCTTCATGGACTCTGACGTTCATCTGATTTTCCCCACTCGATCTGCTGGTCCATGATTTCATAGCCGATTCAGTCAGCTTCTTGTTTTCTCACAGCAGGATTCCTGGTTTATTAGCAAAGTTTCACCTAATGGTTGATTGTTATCCTTCAATTGGAAATGTGATGCATATGGTAAAAAGTCACAGATAGATGCAAAGACACCAGTTACAGGACCAAACTTCGATAACTTTTATCTTGTTAGATAGCTTTAGAAAGGACAATTTTGTGACGGGCATTACTAGTGTTAGCACATTGAAAAGACTTGCATGCCTTTTGACGAGCAAAATAATTTGTCCATTCACTTAGATATTGAGTCCTAGATAAATTCACATATATGCATCTAAACTCTAAATTTTGTTAATCTGCTAGTAACTGTTACAGCTAGAAAAGCTGTTTGGAGCGCTTTCAAAAATTTCAATTGACAATCTCTCTACACTATAAAGACAAGAAGCATTTACATATCTTCTTTACTCTTTTCCCCTTCACCTTAAGTCAGCTTCTTCCTCCTGTTTAACAGTAAAACATCACATTCTTCACCCTCTCTTTTAATTCGGGTAAAGGCCGGACAGATGATCCATTGGTAGTGCGTGTGCATCGCGCTTTAACATTTTCAGATGCCTCAGGTTCAATGTAGAATCGAGCTCGGTAGGCTGCTAGATGAGCATAATATGCCGGAGGGACTGCATATGTAAAGAATTAAGTAAACATTATAGATTTCTCACGCTAGTACCGAATTTAGCAAACTCCATTCACATTGCTACTTGGTTTATATAAATGGCCAATTGAAAAGCAAAAGCAAGTAATCCTAATAATTTCTAGTTCAATAGGAAAATCCAATCATTTTGTCACAATGCAGATAACAAAAAAATAAGATAAAAATTGACAGAACAACCATGCAAAAGTGCTCAAGGTTTTTATTAAAAAAAAAGTAGAAAAAAAAAACCAAAAAGAATGTTTTCAAGCATGCTATGAGGTAATTTGGAAATTAATGGGTGTAGTCATATGTAAATGGTAGATTAGAAGTTACCAACAGAAACGGATCGCGTGCACCGAGCATACCTGCAATCCAAATAATCCATCAAGTTGAATCATGATAACTAGAAAGGTACATATAGCATCAAACAAGTCAAAATTCTTACGTGTAACAGAGGTTGTTGGTCAGAGACTGGATCTCATCCGCTGTGAAGTTATTCTCATCCCAGAGAACATGATAATGAGCAGGTCGGCTTGTCCCCTGCCAATTTGCAGTTCTAACATGAAAATGACTGATATAGTGGTCTTTTATAACAAACTTTCATCTTATTCATGTTTCTAATTGAATAAAGTTGAAAAACTTGCCTACATATTTGAAAACCATAAGGATAAGAATCTAAGATGAGTCCATACCTGGATTCCCGCATGACTACACAGATAGAAGTCAAACTCAGTCGGATGACAGATCTTAGAATCCACCACAGTACCTACATTTGGAAACTTCAAGTAGATATTCATCTTAAAATTTAAATTATAAATGGAAAAAGCTAGGTAGCTCATCAAAGAATTTGATGCATAAACTCAGAAAAAGCTTGTTAAGGAGTCGTTTATTTTCTTCTTCTCATTCACAAATCCTAGTTTCTTCGAAAGGAGTTGGCTAGCTACTTAGAACACCATTTTTATTTTTATTAAGCAAACCATGAATCCCAGCAAGAACAAAAAGCACAAGCTTTTACCAGGTAAAATATTTCCACTCTTGTCAGTGCTGCTTCTGTCGCTGTGATTGTTTGCAAACAGCCTAGTATGATGCCTCTTCTGAACCACAATGAATGTAACTGGAGGTTGGTAAGTGGGTTCCAGTGATGCACAGGCCTGAACATAAAAGCAGTATAAGCATAGGATAAACATTGTAAACTGGCACCATATGTCTTTCTGTTAACCAACCTTCCGTATGGCATCAAGTTCATATAGTAGAACCTGGTAGAATTGTCCTTCACTGACACCATCTCTACACAAATTTTGGACAACTTCAGAAAACCTTGAGCAACTAGAGTATTTTGAAGCTTAGCTATTCATTAAGTCTACATATCAACCTAATAGCAGTTATTTTCTATCTAAACTAAAACAAATAAACAAACTTATCAGGATGAAGCTGTAGATTGCTAATCATCCTTGAATACCTGTAAAAGATTATCCTCAGTGGCTTTTGTCCCGTAGCTTTCTTAAATGCAAGTAAGAGCTCCCTGCATTAGCATGAATTTAGTAAATTTACATCACTATATTGGCACATCATTGAAAAGGACATTTTGCAGTTGCTCACTCATAATCTAATAAGTGCTAAAGAATCCCAAGAATGGACATGATATGACAAATAAACGCACCCAATAACCTCAAACAAGATTAAGGTTTTGAAGTAATAGCTTTTGAAGAATAAATTGCTAACCAGCAAAGTTTTTGAAACAAGATATTGACCTAAGTAATGCATCTAGATTCTGGAGGCCTTAAAATTGTAAAACGAATCCACTACTGAACTCAAGTCAAACGACCTAATGCAGCCCCAGAAGTACTGACATAGTTCATGACTTGAAACTCTATTGTCTAAAAAGTTATAGCAGGCAGTTCGATCATATAAAGACCATGTTGAAGAGGATCATGATGGCCAACAGGCTATAACTTTGAATTATGTTCTTCAATTATATGACTCTTTGCCACGAGTAATGACATGCTACCTCAAGTCATGCAGATATAATATAATCTTAAATGAAAAGACCTGATCATGCCTCCAGTAACTGTTTCTCGTTGAGGATCCTGCCAGGTTTTGAATAGATCTTGAATAAGTTCTTGCCTATGAGGCTGAGCACATACCAGTCCAGCATACTTCGTCACTTCTGGCCAGTCTTGTGAGGCCACAACCTGCATTTCACAAACCATTAAGGCTAAGGAGCAGAAATATTATCAGCTTTTAACATACAGGATTTCACTTACAGCAGCTATTGATGGACTAGAGTCCTCTCCAGACTCTGGATGAGTTACATCAGCCCCAAATATTATAGTTGGAATGTCACTAACCAAAGGAATTCTCCAGCTTAAAGCATCTAAGAGCACAGTATTTCTTCCCCCCATCTAAAAAAAATGAGAAAAAGTGAAAATTAAATATTATTACCTAACAATTTCTTTGATCATGATTAATTAAGACGACAGTTCATATAATTATGACAGACCTTGACGTTTATTTTTAGAGAGAGATTTGCCAAGTACTGTCTGCTAATCTTGAAGACGTGTTTTGTGAGGCAGCATTGAGAAATCAAACCCAGATCAGTTTCACAAATTCGTTTAAGATCACCTGAACGAGGAACAAATTGCTTAGTCCAGACGAAAGCAGTTATTTAATAGCGACAGCATGAGGTTTTCAGTTTAAACAGAGAATTAGTTAAAACTTGAGAATGGTGTGGAAAAATTAATGAGTTAAATGTTATTAATGTATTTACTTTCGGAGAAAATAAATGAAAAGAAAATTTCTAAAACTACACCTCTAGTCAATAAATCAAAAATCAGAGTGAACAAAACACGGGTATCTTAGCAATATGTAAACGTAGTGTAAGCTGTAGTCGTACACTCTTGTCCTGCTAATCATAATTAAATTGGGTCAAGCAGATATATAGATGCAGAGAGGAGCATACCATATAAGGAACCATTGTTGTCCGGAAGAATGGCAATGAGTAATTCCAGTTCTTTTCCTTCAAGTTTATTTGCAGCAGCATGATATACATATTTCAGTGCCTTTTTAACTTGATCTGGTCTTGCTGAATATATAGGAATTACAGGTTCCCGATTGAATTCCTGCAATCCAAGACCAAATTGATCAAAGGTTAAGGTACTGAAGGCAGCCATTGAAGCAACACTATAGATAATTACAGAGATAGAACTCAGTTTGGCCAAAACAAAGTTTAGGAAAATTCACCATGCCAGATATTTGGCACATCTGAACTAACTCCTGACAAAAGCCATGTGCAGTGCTCTCTTGAACACTTCGCGAGAAGTTGATACAAGCCCAGTATCTTACAGTGCTTCCATTTATAACTTTCTGCAGCAAAGCAACAAGAATTGCCTTTCTTTAGAGAGAAGTAACATGCAGTTAAATTATAAGGATGCCATTTCTGGTGAAATCTAGGTATCTTTCACACCTTGACATTGACTAACCTTGTTCATCATATTCCATTGACCAACTTGGGGCAAATATTCTTTTTCTTTTCCAGTGTCATTATACTTTAGCTTTAAAAGGAAAGAGGATGAATGGAACAAAGTGTTAAACGGTTAGAAGCTGAATAGATCATGTTAATAATTGACAGTGACTGCATAAAGGAAAAAAAAAAAGAATTAAAGTGACTTCAACATTACCCATGGAGCAGGAAGAACCCGAGCCTCAATTGATGTAAGCTTGCTATCTATATGGATGCCAAACTCTTTTGCGTAAGGATCTTGATCATAACCATTCTGTTGAACTGTCTGTAAAGACACTAAAGCACTTTTAGATCATCATTTTTTTCAGGCAGGCAAAAAACTAAAATGCACTACAAATTTCATCCTCCCTGCTACTTCTATTCTTTGTTATTATGATGACAAATAACACAAATTGCTAATTTCCAAGTTGGTTTATATAATTATTATCTACTATGGCTTGTTGAATGAAGTAAAACAATAAGAAAGGTTGGAAAGATGGATATAATATTGACATAAACCCATGAGTTCCAAGCAATTTTAATTAATGGTAGTCTTTACATCTTATCAGTTTCATATTCAACTGTTTATATGAAAAACACAGCAAATAATCCAAGGACAGCGCGTAGGACCTGTAAGATGTCCAATTCTTGTTCAAGGGGTCTTTGGCATGAAACTTTCAGCAGAGAAGTAATCTGTTTTTCATTCAACCCTTTAGTGTATCTCTGTCCTTCAACTATCTTGCAAGCCTGTGAAAAGATTTATATTACATTGGCTGCAACTGTAAATGCTGCATGCAAGAGCTTAAAGAGAATTAGTCAATACATACCTCCATGGGCAAATAATTCACCTTCTTCTCATTTCCTACTTGAAGGCATGGTAGGTGCGCGTGTCTAATGGTATATCCATACATCTCTTGAAAGTACTCAACAACTGATTTCATGTTCATATGCTCATCAAGTGGGAAACTGATGAAAGGAAAACATAAAAGTTAATTTTCACGAAAATGAAGTCCAAAAGAAGCAATGACAAACTTTTCAAATTTATGAAATAGGAGATCAAATTCAAGAAAAAAATACATTAGCTCCCTTGTTGGCTGAGTTGTCAACCCTGAAACCCTGTACTTTCTGCGTACATTTCCTCTGTGAGTCACTTCCACTTTCACACCTCTTAGTGCTTTCTTAACCTGTAGAACATTACCGAAAAGATAAATTGCAATTTGCAAGTGTCAGCAAAGGATAGTTATAAACTTCCTACAAGTTAATGTCATTTCAGAAGAAGCTCTCAGAGCTAAATACCCACAATTAATGATGATCAGAATGCCATTAGATTACAGTTATTTTAAACCACAAGAAGGTTTAAACCACAAGAAGGCAAAACGAGATTGAAGACTATCTCTCCTTCAGGATCTAGATTTAAACAACAAGACAGTTACATCATGGCCTTAGGAAGTTAGTTTTATAATTCTTTTGGATGCAACAACCATTTTATTTTATTTTTTTGAAATTGCATTTCAGAATTAAATTCCTTACTTAGAGTTGATGGAATCTTGCAATCTACGTTATAACTACTAAAGTGTTCCAATGTGAAAAGACAGGATCCACATATGATTTTTATGAATGCAAATTATGATCATGTATATGCATTTCAAAGAGTGTGGCTATCATGAACCACACATTGTAATACCTTAACTCGATCTGCATCTGACATTGGCCTTGAATAAACATCTTTACCCAAAATTTGAGCAACGAAATCAATGACAGGTAGTGGTTCAATGAATGCAGTTGTTGACATATCTGACACAAAGCGACACAAAACAAAGCAGAATATCAAATTCTGACATAAAAATTGGCTGATAAAGCAATGCTTCAATTGATTGAACGAGTCTAGGAGGGTTTTACCAATATTCAGAGACAATCCCATCTGAGTAGGTCTTATACTCTGGTAGAAGCCACGCCATGATTCCAAGCCACCACCCACTGCTTGTGGTTTCTTGATATTAGGAGAATAAAGGAACCTTCCAACTGATATGTACCTATACTCATCAAATTAAAGAGTACGTAAGTTAGAATCTGCTGCCAATGGCGTGAGAAACAGAAAAATAAGATGCTACCTTTGAGCCGCGAGTTCCCTTAACACAGTATCAATAATGTTAAGGGCTTCTTGAGGGGTATCAGCTTGTTTCCCAGATAGAAGGTTACGCAATTGTGCCATGCTAGCGTGAGCTACAAACTTTATTGTCACTTTAAATTCTCTAGTCCTGATTAATTAGCAATATTTGCATCAAAATCCTCAGTGGTTTGAAAGTTGAAACGGATCATCAATTCATTCCAATTAAAAATGAACTAGTTAAGGACATAAGTGGTATGAAACAGTTATAATGAATGAATTACCTAACATTAACCATTCCTTCATCTTCATCAACCAATATTACAGTGAACTCCTTAGAGTTAAAAGGCAGTGATCCAGCAGTGTATAGGTTTTTCCTTCCATCATAAACAGGAAGCCTCATTCCCAAGTCACTGTTTCTGTAAAGTTTAACCAGCTCTATCATGATAGCTTTGTTCAGTTTACGAGAAGTAACTTCTGGGTTTATTTCTACCTGTTCCAAGAAACATTATACAACAATAAATTGTCAAAGCTCAGTCTCGGCATTTCAACCTAATTAACCATGGTTTTTTTCAATTATTAAAAAAAAAAAAGACTTACACTATAATGACTCAAGTCAGATCGTGGTATCTCTGCAAGAAAATGGTTGGCTTTAACCATACATTTAGTTCCCAACTGGCCGTAGCCAGGCCTTCCGTGAAACATAAGGCTCTTGCATGGGGTAGAACCAATGCCTGGCTCAAGCTTTCCATCTTGTAACCTATCTACTTTATGCCCTCTGCCTCTTCTCCTTCCGTTTCTCCTTCCTAGACTCTTCTTGCCATCTTCAAATCTATCCCCATTTTTTATGACCATTTGGGGTGATTTCTTATGATTCATGGAACTCTTTAGAGGTTCCCTTGACAACACATGGTTCTCCTCAGGGTCTCTCATTTGCATGTGAGGCATTTCTGTAGGACAAACAATACTCACTAATTAGTTGATTTAAGTCATATTACATCCCAATGAGCACTAGAGAGGGAGAGAAAGAGAGAAAAAGAAAGGAATGCTGCACCAAAAGGAGAGATCACCAAGTGATAGCTCAAAAGACTAAATTTGAAAGGTAATGGCTTAACATTGTACACGTTTTCTGCAAGAATCTTTACTATAAGTGATTGGTTTTTTTGAGAACAGTGAAAACCACTGGAAAAACGCTAAGCAGTGTAACTGTTGCGGCAAGTTAAAAGGGAGGAAAAAATAAAAGAAAGAGATGTTTATAGCATCCAATCTCGACTGTGCTTTACTCTATAGCTCTGTATATTCCCCGAAAGGAATGACCAAAAGAGACATGCAAACATGCGAAAAAAGCAAGAATCGACAGTACAAAGATTCAGAAAGTCCTCCAACCATGAAAAAGGTAAACAAAGAATTGAAAAGTGAAAAAACAAGTTCATAAAAAAGCCATTTGTATATCCATAAACAAGGATATTTCATCGGTAAACAAAATATGCAGCTAGCTTTGGCCATCCCCATGGCTTTTAATCATATATATACCATGTAGCTGTGAAGGCGAAGTTACTTGGATATAAGATTTCTCATTTCTTCCCCTCCCTGTTGAATCATCTTAGTTTTCTATAATTAGGATTATAGCACTCAAGGGAAAATGAAAGACTTTGGGGTTTCTCCAGTGGAAGTAAAACACGGTTCAGTACCGAGAAGTATCAGACTTTTACATTGTGGCTTTATTTAATCCTGATCATAGCCCCATCGAAAGCCCGTGCTACGCCGCCTGTGGTCCTTAGCACTGGCATTAAAGCCTGCATTTTCTCCAACTTCTTTGCAGGACAGCTTGTAACCTAGCAAAGCCTGATAAACTACATTTTGTTTTTTCAGAAGGCGGAGGCATTAGGGAACTTTAACTCATCCCAAAGCCCACCAATAGTGACTAAACATAAGCGCTAGACAACCCACAGAGTCAGAATCAGAACAGAACGCAAAACAACAGATAGGAAAATCAGCGCCTCAAAGGGATAACATTAGTACTAACAATCAGGCTTAAAAAGTGGTGATGCAGATAACTCTTAGGGCTCAACCTAAAACAAAGCAGTAAAGTTTTTCAAACAATACACGGCTTATGTTGTTTTCCTCGTTGTTTATTAACCGTACGCATTGTATTGTTCTGAAATCTGAACTACTCTTTTTATCCTCATGCTTTGGGATACGTTTAGCTGCAATTTGTCAGCTGTACCTTTTTTTTGGCAGGGGGGCCAAGGGAACTTATTTTAGCTAAGAAAAATTGGAACCTGAGGGAAAATTGAATAGGGATTATTACAAGACATGAAGAACAATCAAATGATATGTCCCTTTCCATTTACTGCAGATGGAAATGGTCCAAACTCAACTTTGGTGTTAGCTTAGACATGGGCTCAAATGGGTGACCCGTTTGAAAAACAAAAATCATTATACAAATAATTTTTTTTAAAAGACGAGAAATCTCACATTAGGGCAAGTAAATTGTGATTTCAAAAAGGAAACTTATGAAATGAATAAGCCCCAGGAATTTACAGGGTTTAAAACTACAATCCAATCCCAAGGGATGGACCCGTTCAGTTTTAAACGTACACAGCTATAACTAGGCCGAACAAATGAAGAAGCTGCCGATTGACATGAAATTACAGCAGTTTGATCTCATCTACTTAGAAAGTTCTTAAGGGTACATCCAAGAGATAAAAAATTTTTATAAAATGGTAAATTTTCAGAATATATCTCTAGGTCCAACTGATGGAAACATTGAACTTGAAATCTTTTAAGAATTTAAGAGTAGTAATTGTAGAGAACATTCATGAATATAATAATATATTTCCCACTCCTTTTCTAAGAAAATTAAGTAAATTGAGTGTTTTAAGATGAATAATTGGGTAGTTTTGACAATTTTTTAAAGGGTTGAAGTTTTAATTCTTCTCGATGCTTGAAAGGTGCCCATTATAAAACCCGATTCGAATCTAAATTCAAAATAAAAATAAAAGAAAAATAAATTTTAATGTATATAAATTAATCAAAATTAATTTAATAAATTAAAATTAAAAAACATATTTTGATAGTTAATGAATTCTAATATGTATTAAATTAATTAGAAGTAATTTATAAGTAAATATAATTATGTATACAACAAAGTTTTAGTATTATTATCAACAGAAAAAGTTTTAGTATTAAAATATACATATAATCTGAAAATTCTCTAAAATCTTTAACCTAACAAGAGACATGAAGTACCTTTCACTACCCAAATCCCAATTAAATTTGATTATAGAATATCTTAATCTTACTTAATCGAATTCAATAATGCAACTATCTTATTGTATTCCAAGATACCCATTGCCATACCTATATGGAGATAGAGTCGTAAATTAAAAAAAAAAATCCATTCAGTAAATCCACCTTTCAAACCACAAAAAGCTTGAATTTGGAACCTCTATTGGAATCCCAAGTTTTAGCTAATGAAATTATTAAAAATGATTTGACATAATTAGAAACACTTAACTCATTAGTTTCAAAAAAAAAAAAAAAAAGCTTGGAACATGGTAAGACATAGAATGAAAAAGAACTACTTTCTTATTATTTATCCTAAAACTCAATTATCATATGTTTAAGGAAAACAACAAAAGACATGCAAACACAAACAATGAAAAAAATAAATTAAATAATTGAAAATAATCAAATACTAACCAAAAAAAAAAAAAACTTGGGGCATAATTGTAATAATATATATAGTTGAAAATTTTGAGGAAAAGGAAGCAGTAGTAATGTCTGTAATAAAATCCAAGTGAAAAAATGAGTCTCCCAGAACTGAGAACCCAGATAATCCAAGATGTCTGGATTTCTCAGTACAGTTCTTCTGTCGTGGAGCTGCCCTTGAGAAATCAGAACAAGATTCATTGACCAAATAAAGGGTTTTTTGGGATTTTGTGGTTTTACTTTTTAGAATTACTAGGCAAGGCAGGGCAGAGCAGGGCAGAGCAGGGCAGGCACTGCTAATGTTATTCCACACCGTCACATCTCTACATTATGATTCAGCACATACTTTGTACGACTCCATTTTTCATGAATTTCTTTCCCTCATCTTTGGGTTTTATATATTTTCTTTTATTTATTAAAAAACATTTTCCCCAAGTTTCTTAATTCTTTTTTAAGTTTTCCCATATTCTTACTTATCGTAAAAGACTTATTTTTTTGTTTTTTTATAATTAATGAATTTAAACATTAATTCTTCTCTTTTTTTTTTTTTTAAGATTTGAGATCTATATTAACAAGATATTTACCCAATATTATGATCTCAAAACGCATGGCAATGTCTACAAAATGATTTAAAAAAACAAAAAACAAAAAAGAAGACAAAAACTCTAAAGTTACTTATCATTCATCACCGTCACAAAGCACTCACAAAGCCATTACTATTCATTAATCACGAAAATTTTAAATTAAAAAAAAAAAGAACGGAAACAAGCTTAGGACAGGCCACTCTTTTTCTTAGAAGTAAGAATCCCACACCGCTTTTTTCTATGATGGTTATGTATCAAAGAGGGAATATCCGTAATTCTTCTTTGGTCACAGATATGGCTAAGAACCAAACGCCATCCCATACCAATCATGAAATTATGTAGCTATGGAGAGATAAATAATAATAATAAAAAAAGAATCAAAAGATTAATTCATTAGGATAATACTATAGTATTATTTTTTATTTCCAAATTTCACTCTTAATATTTCACTTTTTTTTTTGTTTAAAAGGAACTCCATTAATTTAAAAATAATAATTATTCACTTTTATTAGAATATATCTAATAACCCTTAATTTACAAAGTCGGTCCAATAACATTAACAGGATGAGAATAATGTACTATTTTATCTAATTTAAAAAAGTATTTCATCCATCGTTATCATCTATGAAAATTTTAAATTTCATAAATAAATTAACAAGGTAATACAGCCTCTAAATACTTTACAGAGTAATAATCTCTTAATTTCGGTGATAAAATTAAAATTAAAAATTACTATATTATTAAAAAATAAGTCATAATAAATACATCTACATGTTTTTTAGGGTAAAGGCATAGTCTATGGCGAATAGTAGTTATTGAAGGAGGGAGGGGGTAAGTAAGGTGAATCTGCAACGAACCTTTTGCTTTTACGTTTCCTTTACAGGAACATCACGTTAACAATAAATGTGGTTATTTCCTCATCAGCTTTCTCAACAACCAGGAATTCCAGCTCCCATATCTGCAAATTAACAATACATACATATTTTTAAACTGTTTGTTTATTAAATGACAAAGAAAGAAAGATGAGCAGAAGATATCGGCCTGCAGCTTTGACATATGTGCCACAAACTGCGTCTATAGCTACCTACACAAAAGAAACAGAATCTGGTTTGGTTTGGTTTGTATAGCCCAAATCTTTACTGTACTGGGGCTAAAGATTCAGACATCAGAATTCAGAAAGATGGAAGTTTTAAGCTGATGAAATGGTGCCACATGGAATTGGGGGTCGATTAATAGTAGTAGTTGGTAAGTTTCTGTGGGGGTTGGTTTAATGAGTATTTTAGGTAAGTGATCGTCTACGAAAAAAGGAAAGATATGGGTCCTGAAAGGTGAAACGTACGAGGATAACAAAGTAAAGGCGTGGGGAGATCTAAAGAACCAAAAAGAAAATTAAGAAAGAGATCATTTACTGCGGGATATTAAAAGCAAAACTGCCGATATATGGATATTCAAGCACTCAAGCTGTCAAAAAGTAGAGCTAGATGATCATCTAATGCGCATGGTTGATGAGTCAAAACAAAAAAGAGAGAGTTGAAAGCCTGAAACTCATTTCAAAGCAAAATGATCTTACAAAAAAAAAAAAAGGCTGACCTAGTTGAAGAAAGTTGAAACCTGAAAGGAGGAGTGTTTTCAGGGATGAAATAGAAATAATGAATAAAATTAGTTGATATATAAAACTGTTGCTGAAAAAGAAAGAATGTCTTTTTTGGAAAACGAAGGAAACCCAAGCTGTAAACAAGGTTATGAAAAAAGATTATGGGGAGTCGAGTATTTTTGGGAATGCTTCATCCAAAGAATAAGATTATCATTTTTATTATTACTATTATAATGATTCTCAGCTTTCCATCCATCAACAACACTCACCATCTTTAAGAAAAGGAACTTTAAACAAGAAAGAGTGTGAGAAATAGCTTTGTGAGAGAGCATGACAGCGTGGAACTGATCAACTTTTGCATTTAAATTACAGTAAAAGATAAATGGGATATCATGAATTAATAAAAAGAATTGCAAAAGCTAACGTTTAGACTTAAACCAATTAAAATAAACAAGAACAAATCAATAAAAGGTATGAGATTCCATACTCTGAGACTGAGAAAGAAAGATAAAAGAGAGGAATGGTGTGGTGACTGCAAGGACTAGTCTAACATCTCTGGGTCTGGGGCGAAGGCAATGTCTTTCAGTGCTTTTCCAAGCTGGTTTTTTTTCTTTTTCCAATTCTTAAAGATCTGACCAACGTATATGAATAAAGAAAGATGATTTGAGTAATTGATGGAAAAAGTGAGACTGCGTGTCAGGTTCCGGACCGGGGTGGAGAAGTGGCCGGAATTTGAGATTCCGGTGAAAGAGAGAAGAGAGATCAGGCTAAGAACATTTCAGAGAGAAAAAAGGGCAGAGCTCGGGCTTTAAAAAAGGAGAGGAGGCAGGTTCTTCTTTCGAGGTACTTTATATACTAAGGTACTCACACTGCTATGAGTAAATTTACTTGATTTAAAAGGAAAATATAAATATTATTAATAAAAAGTTTCAAATTGTTAATTAATGAATATTTATAAGTGATATTTATAGAAAAAAAAAGTTTTCAATTAAAAAAATGTATTAATAAAAAAATATTTTTAAAATAAAAATTTATCTAACTTTAACAAATATTCATAAACAATCTGTTAATTGAATTGATTATGAAATAATTACAATATTGTATAAAAATACATATCAACATGTACATGCTAAATCTATAAGATCATTAGGACATAATGTTAACTCTTAATAGTATTAAAATTCAAGCCTACCTTAGAAGTAGTAGTCATAATTAGTGTTCTTCCTCTGTCTCTCCTAAGTCTTACTATTCCTTTGTTCAAAGATTGCATATACAATAATTGGCACTTAGCTATAGGTACCTTTTACTCGCTCTTTCCTTTGTCTTATGCCTTTTTTTTTTTTTGCCATTTTCTTATATATCCCTTAGTTCAAGACTACGAACTTGGTGCATTGACATGTAGAATTACTCTTCATCCTCTTCTATTTGTTTTTTTATTACAAAAAAATAAAATAAAATAAAAAGTGACTTTCATTTTTTTATATATTTTCTTTCAATAAAGCAATTAATTTAAATTAGATTTTTTCTCGGATTGAGTTTTGAATAGGTATTTAAAGATCCAATCCAACTCCTATTATTAGTTTATTAATAATTTTTACTTAAATTGAATTTAAAAATATTAAAATGTCAATATAATAATATTTTAGTATTTTCTAATATTGATTGGATCTATTCGAACTTCCTTGAACTAGCCAAAATGAACCTATCGTGAGCTTATCCAAGTCTCTATGGAAGAGTCAGGGTGGATTTCCATTAGAGAAGAATTTAAAAGTATCAACTGAGTCTGATTCTATTTGACTCTGACCCATGAATGGTACAAATTAAAGCAGTAATGGTGGGAAAAAAAAAAAAGCTTGATAACCCCTATCAAAGATTCGGGCAGGCCTCTCTCTGTAAAACGTTTTGGAATTTCTAAACTTGGTAAATTTTTGGACATAAGATATATACATGACATGATGATATATCTGAAAAACATCTGATGAAATGAATAGATATTTTCAGATCTTATCAAAAGCTAAAAGAGAAATGGAATATATGGCATCACGCTCTGGTTATATTAAGGGCGCCTACTTTTATATATAACTGTTCTTCGGTAAAAGTTTGATAATGCAATTTGCTTTATGCTGCAGATCATCAGGATTGCTTGCAAATTACTCCTTTGGTATATATATGTACATGAACTCCTTTTGACTAAAACAGGAGCCTGTCCAGTTGTTGAATTTCCAAGAAAAAACATGGCCTACAATAAATGTTGCATGCAGGGCATGCAACAAGAGTACAACGATATTATTTAGGTTTGGTTTTGACAATTGTGTCTTAAAAAAAAGGCTATAAATGGTATAAGGGAATTAAGCAATGAAATTATATATCAACCAATTGTGGTTAAAGGAAAAGCTCTAGCCAATAATACAGAATAATATTTCATGATGCTTGGATGTTTGATCTTTGCGCACCAGAAAGCAATGGAGACAGAAAAGAGCCCTGGGAGGAAATTTGGGAGCGTACGTGGGGGCAGCTGGAGCTGGTCAAATTGTGAGGCCCTGGATTTAGAGTCATGCAATGGACGTGACATTTTGGAATAGTAATCCCTTGAATCAATCTGAATTTACAGAAACAGGCCACCTCTAGACTTCTAGTATTATGGTTGAAGAAAAAAAAAAAAAAAAAGCCGAAAACCTATTTTGTAATGTATCTGTTTTTCATTATTTTGCTATGATTTTTAATTAAGATATTGAATGATTTTATTAAGTTCACTTTGATATTTAGTTTATAGGACGAAAATTAGAAATTATTCAATTTGGGTTGAATTATGTTTCTTATTATTTGTTATTATTTAATTTTTAAAATAATTATTTTATTTTAAAATATATATCTAAATAAATTAAAATTAATTTAAAATATAAATTATTCATATAGATGAACAAAACGGATGACATTTGATGCCGGGGGGTTAGATTCCAAAATAATTTGGTTCAATTCTGAAAAACTGAAATATTATGTATTAATCATTTTTTTTTTAAATCGAATTAAACGATTCCATTATTAAACTGTTATGATGGTGAACTGAGATATTTAATTTATATTGCACAAGAGCCAAAGATTCGACGGGCTAAGGCCGAATCGGTCAAAGTAAAAGACCCATAGTTTTCTCAACATAAAAAGTGGTGAAAGTAAAAATGTGAGAGACGTTCGGGAAGTGGGAATTAAATTAGAGTCGCTAGTTTTTTTTTCATTTATATAGTATAAAGTGTTAATAATTTGTATATTTAAATAATATTTTATATAAAATTATATCTTATAATTTTTATTCACATAAAAATTATAAGATTTTTTTATTAAAATTTTAAATTTTATTATCTTTATATATTTCTTATTATCATTTTCATATCATGTTTTAAATATGATAAAATAGCACCTATATATATATATTAGAAAGAAAAATATTTTAGAATAAAAAATATATTTTTATTTCCATTGTCACGCTTAGGTGATTGAACTATGTTGAACATAGATTTTAATAAAAATAAAAAATATAATGTCAATATTCCGTTAGGGCATAGAGCTTGAATAAGCATTTTCTATGTGAAGGGGATCTAAGGACCATTAAATTTTGTGAGCAAATACCCAATTTCAAACTAATTAGCATGGAAAGGTTTCTCCTATATTTAAGAATATAAAATATATTCCAAAATTAAAAACACAGTTGGGATACAAATAATATCGAGAAAATTTGAAAGTTATTGAGTGCCCAAGCTCGTACAAATGAAATTGAAAAGTGTGCTTAAGTCTATGAAGCTAACTTGGCAAGTCTAATTCATAATCATTTCTCAATTGTTTTGTTCTAATACTATCTATGTATATAAAGCAATAGAAAATTTTTTTAATTGATTAACTTGTTCACATGACTTTTTATATTTAAAGTGATTTGAGTATCTACTCTAATGGTATCATTGTTCTGTATCATTATAAAAGAATATTAGAATGAAAATTTTTTGATCTAATTTGTGCTCAATTTCATATGTGACAATTCTATCAAGATCTCTTCATTATTGGGGGAAGAATCGAATCGAATTTTTTGAGGAATATATCAAGGGAGAATTGGATTTTGTTAGACAATGTATGGTTGGTAATTAATTATATATATTTTTAATGTTACGCCTGAAGCAATAATCACAACAATACAGAAGCAATAGACAACAATCAATAATCAAATGCGCAGGAAAAATAAAGCACACCAAGATTTACGTGGAAAACCCTCCAGTGTAGAGGAAAAAAATCACGGGCCACCAGAAAAATCTTCACTATCAAATAATAGTTATACAAAGTTCTTCTCTAGCTAAAACTAGAGCTAATCAACAACTAGAGAAACAATTGGAGAAATCTCACCAAATAAGTGACTCAACAAATACACCCTGGATTTGTTCCTAGAGAGCTTCAAACCCGATCTTCACCGTTCAGAATGTATAACTCTGAATCATAAACCTCCTGACAAGGTTCCAACTCAATCGGACCACGGATCGACTTCCGTTTAACCAACTCTTCTTTCTCTTTTTTCTCTCTCTGCTTTTCCTGGCTTTTCTTCTTTTTCTGCTTGGTTGTTGACACACACATAAAACAACCCCACCTCTTTTTTATTAAGTAGCTAGGGCTCTGTGTAAAATAAAAGATCAAGGCCCATGGCCTTTACTTGGTCCAAAACCACTTACATGGGACTGGACCCCATTTTCCTAACAATCTCCCCCTCCAGCCCCATTAGGAGGAGATTCATCACCATAGCAGTTTCATTTGGAACTTACCTTGGCCAGGGAACTCATTCCGGCCAAGTTACTGCAAAGCTCAAGCTTTTTCCTGGGAAGTATCTTAGTCAACATATCTGCCACATTTTTATCAGTATGGACTTTCTTCAATAGCATCTGCTGTTCTTCAATCACTGAACGTAACCAATGATATCTAACATCAATGTGCTTTGTTCTAGCATGGTACATGGTATTCTTACTCAAATCTAAAGCACTCTGGCTATCACAAAATATCACATACTCTTTCTGATTCAACCCTAATTCAAGAAGAAAACGTTTCATCCAAAGCATTTCTTTACGTGCTTCAGTTGCTGCAATATACTCAGCCTCTGTAGTTGACAAAGCAACACACTTTTGCAACTTAGACTGCCAAGATACAGCTCCTCCTGCAAAAGTGAACAAATATCCTGAAGTAGATTTCCTACCATCAAGATCGCCTGCCATGTCAGCATCAGTAAACCCTTCTAGAACTGGTTGTGAAACTCCATAAGTCAAGCACATTTTTGAGGTACCCCTCAAATATCTAAAAATCCATTTCACTGCTTCCCAGTGAAGCTTTCCTGGATTAGAAAGAAATCTGTTCACTACACCAACTGCATGAGCAATGTCAGGCCTTGTACAAACCATAAGATACATTAAAGAACCGACTGCAGAAGAATAAGGAATACTAGACATAGCTAGTTGCTCTTCCTTAGACACTGGACAAGATTTCTTACTTAGGTGAAAATGGTTGGCAAGTGAACTACTAACTGATTTAGCATGTTGCATGTTGAATCTACCAAGCACTCGTTCAACATATTTTTCCTGTGACAACCACAGCTTTCCATTTCTCCTATCCCGGATAATGTCCATACCAAGAATCTACTTTGCTGGACCTAAATCTTTCATATCAAAAGACTTAGACAATTGTTCTTTCAACCTGCAAACCATACTAGCATCTTGTCCTACAATCAACATATCATCAACATATAATAATAGGATAATGAAGTTACCATTAGGGAAT